GCAACCTCCAACTTCTGGGTTCAAGCGATTCTCCCGCCTCAGCCTCCTGAGTAGCTGGGACCACAGGTGTGCACCACCACGCCTGGCTAATTTTTTGTATTTTAGTAGAGATGGGGTTTCACCATGTTGCCCAGGTTGGTCTTGAACTCCTGGGCTCAGGCAATCCGCCCACCTCGGCCTCCTAAAGTGTTGGGATTACAGGTGTGAGCCACCGCGCCTGGCCAATTTTTTCCTTGAAAAACCTAAAACTGTTATACCACTAATTCTTGCCCCTCCTTCCATGACTACTTTCCCTCAAGCCAGTAAGAATGACTCCTAGATATGGTCTTATACTTTCACAATAATCTATGCATTCATTAATAACATATGTTATTTTTTTGTGTGTTTAAAAGTTTACTTAAAAGGCATCACACCGTATGTATCCTTTTTTTTTTGGAGATGGGGTTTCACTATGTTGTCCAGGTTGGCCCTGAACTCCTGAGCTCAAGTGACCCTTCCACTTCAGCCTCCTGAGTAGCTGAGACTACCAGCATGTACTACCATGCCTGGCTTACATGCATCCTTTATTTTTTCTGTCCAGGCACGGTGGCTCATGCCTGTAATCCCAGCACTGTGGGAGGCTGAGGCAGGCAGATCACCTGAGGTCAGGAGCTCGAGACCAGCCTGGCTAACATGTAGAAACCCTGTCTCTACTAAAAATACAAAAATTAGCTGGGCGTGGTAGTGCACACCTATAGTCCTAGCTACTTGGGAGGCTGAGGCAAGAGAATCGCTTGAACCCAGGAGGTGGAGGTTGCAGTGAGCCGAGATCAAGCCACTGCCCTCCAGACTGCGTCACAGAGCAAGACTCTGTCTCAAAAATAAATAAATAAATATTTTTTCACTTAACATTATGTTTTTAAGATTTACTTACAGTTGCTATATGTCTGTCATTCATTTTTCTGTTGTGTAAGTAAATCAGCTTATTTTCACTGTTTCAATTTTAATGCTACTGAAAAGTACAACAATCACTCCACATATCTTTTTGTATATAATTCCAACGAAAATTCTAATAGGACTAGGGTGCGCCCCATAGTGTACACCATAGTCCCAGCTGCTTAGGAGGGTGAGGTGGGAGGATCACTTGAGCCTAGCTGTAGTGCACTATGATTGCTCCTGTGAACAGTCATTGTATTCCAGCCTGGGCAACCCAGCAGGACCCTGTCTCTAAAAACGCACAAACAAACCAAATACACACACACAAAACTAGTAGAACTTTACAGACTCTTCCTAAAATTCATTTCAAAAAGTAAAAATACAATGATAGCTAAGACATTTTGGAATAACATGAAGAAGATTAAGAGTGGCTACAAAGTAACCAACCCATAAAATGCAGTATTAGTAACTGACTAAAAATAAGAACCCTATCCCTATTCCACACACACAAAATAAATTCCAGTTCTACCAAAGTTCAAATGTAAAAGGCAAAACTGTAAAGCTTATATATCTTTATGATCTTAAATTTAAAAATGTATGTGGTAACATACAAAAACACAAACCATAAATGACTGATTACATTCCCTAATTTTTTTTTTTTTTTTTTAAAGAGAGGGACTTGCTCTGTCACCTGGACTGGAGTGCAGTGGCACAATCATAGCTGCCTGCAGCCTCCAACTCCTGGGCTCATGGGATCTTCCCACATCAGCCTTCTGAGTAGCTGGGACTACAGGTGTACTACATCACACCGAACTTCCATTAGTTTAAAAAAGGTAAAAGAAAAGGACAGGTTACAGACTGAGAGAAAATACTTATAAGACATGAAACCACAAAGGAATAGTGTTGTGTATATATATAAAGGATTACACAATCAGGAAGAAAACAATTGTCTTTTTTTTTTGAGACGGAGTCTCGCTCTGTCACCCAGGCTGGAGTGCAGTGGCCAGATCTCAGCTCACTGCAAGCTCTGCCTCCTGGGTTTATGCCATTTTCCTGCCTCAGCCACCCGAGTAGCTGGGACTACAGGTGCCCGCCACCTCGCCTGGCTAGTTTTTTGTATTTTTCAGTAGAGATGGGGTTTCACTTTGTTAGCCAGGATGGTCTCCATCTCCTGACCTCGTGATCCACCCGCCTCGGCCTTCCAAAGTGCTGGGATTACAGGCTTGAGCCACCGCGCCCGGCCGAAAACAATTGTTATAAATGAATTTCTGATGCTGCAAAAGAAACAGCACTCAGATATAATTTAAGTTTCCTCAGCAAGGCAATTTACTTTTGCAAAAGGGTGTCACTCGCGCCAATTAAGATTGCAAGTGCACACGGAACAAAGGAGACAAGGGGCTTTTTATATCCTTAATGCGATCTGTATCTCTGTGTTCTTCCCCCATGGGCTGGGGTTGGACTGCACAATCTGAGCTGACCCGACTGGCTACTTGTAAATATTTTTCTAAATATGGAAGGGAGGGGGACATGAGGTCCAGTGGTGGAGCAACTGGGACGTGCAGTTTCGGAACAATGGGTACAGGTAACCAAAGGAACAGATGTGAGTTATCAATTAAAACTGACGGGAGGGGAGTAGGGTGTTTACAGTAACTAGAGGTAAGGAGAAACAAGAAAGTTGAGTTTGAGAACAAAGGGTAAGGAAGTTAACAGGCTAAACCTTTTGAAGAAAAACTCAGAAAGATTCATTGTATCTTATAACAAAATAAATACCAAATAGCAGATGGGCAAAGATTATGACTAAATTATTTATGGAAGAAGCAACTTAAAGACTCTTAATCAAGGAAATAAGAAAATAAAACAATGAAACATTTCATAGCCATCAGATTGGCAAAAATTATTAAGTATGATAATACAGTGTGGAGAAATGAAAACAAGTTGCTGGTGGGTGTAGCCTTTCTTTTTTTTTTTGAGACAGAGTCTCACTCTTTTCACCTAGGCTGAAGTGCAGAGGCACGATCTCAGCTCATTACAACCTCTGCCTCCCAGGTTCAGGCAATCCTCCTGCCTCAGCCTCCCGAGTTGCAGGGATTACGGGCACTCGCCACCACACTTGGCTAACTTTTGCGTTTTTAGTAGAGACGGGGTTTCACCATGTTGGCCGTGCTGGTCTCGAACTCCTGACTTCAAGTGATCCGCCCACCTCAGCTTCCGGAATTGCTGGGATTACATAAGTTTGAGAATAGCCTGGCAACAAGGCAAAACCCCATCTCTGCGAAATACACAAAAATTAGCTGGTCGTGGTGGTGTATGCCTGTAGTCCTTGCTACTTGGGAGGCTGAGGTGGGAGGATTGCCTGAGCCCAGGAGGCAGAGATTGCAGTGAGCCAAAATTGCACCAATGCACTCCAGCCTGGGAAACAAAGTAAGACCCTGTCTCAAAAAAAAAAAGAAAATGTGTTACTGTCACTCTAGGAATTATCTAAGCATTTTACCTCCTTACCTTCAGCAGGAAGTTGGGAGGCAAATTCTGAAGGCAAAGTTAAAAGAGCAAAATCCTGAAGTGCAGCAAGCCAGAGTCTGCTTAGTGTGCCAAGATCTGCATAGACTAAGTCAAGAAGTCCATCTGATGAACATGATCCATTTCTGATACTGTCCTCTAAACAGCTGGTAGTCTTCAGAGGTTGTCTGTGGTTTTTATGTCTTTGCACAGCAATTATGTAGACCTGTTAAAGGTTAATTTAAAAACAGGAAATCTTTTATCTGCTGAAAAGGTACTATAAAATGTTTATATTTTCCTGAAGAGGCAGACTTACCTTCGAGCATACTGGACTTGAAATGCACTGTGATATCAAGAAGGCCTGTCTGTGTAACTACACACAGAAAACTGGGGTAGAAAGAGTCAAAAATACTATCTTCAATGAGATGCATTAGGGATAACAAATATCTGGTAAATATGATGCCACTTCTCACATTTACAATCATAATACTATATCACGGCACTCTTTCTCACTAAGCCTGGTATGGCCTAATAATCCATCTTAACATACGGCTACAGGTAGCCATCTCTTAACTGAAATACTGAAAATATTTTCATTCAAACGTATCACTAAATCTCTACAAAGTGTACACAAATAGATTTAACATGGATTATAGAATGTTAAAGTATGCAACACAGTGTATAACATGCACTATTCCTTTATCTACAACTCTAAAATCCAAAAAGCTCTGAAAAAACCTAAGTTTTGGGCAAACTAATCTGGTGGCAAAACTGAAGAACTTATGTGAGGCCATTTATATCTATATACACAAAACAGTATGAATATTCAAACATGAATGTGTCTGATTATAGATTCTATGGTATTGCCCTAGACTTCCCAGATGTATATTGGTCAGTCATTATTTATCTTTACTGAAGAAGTAACATGAGGAGGTAACAGGCTTAAGCAAAAGCACAGGATTTAGATCCAGTCTATTTTATTTTATTTTTATTTTTTTGAGAAGAAGTCTCATTCTGTCACCCAAGCTGGAGTGCAGTGGTGCCATCTCAGCTTACTACAACCTCCACCTCCCCGGTTCAAGCAATTCTCCTGCCTCAGCCTCCCAAGTAGCTGGGATTACAGGCGTGCACCACCATGCCTGGCTGGCTTTTGTATTTTTTAGTAGAGATTGGGTTTCACCATGTTGACCAGGCTGGTCTTGAACTCCTGACCTCATGTAATCTGCCTGCCTCAGTCTCCCAAAGTGCTGGGATTACAGGTGTGAGCCACCACGCCCAGGCTATTTTATTTATTTGTTTTCTTATTTTTGAGATGGAATTTCGCTCTTGTTCCCCAAGCTGGGGTGCAATGGTGCGATCTCAGCTCACTGCAACCTCTGCCTCCCGGGTTCAAGCAATTCTCCTGCCTCGGCCTCTCGAGCAGCTGGGATTACCAGCGTGTGCCACCATGCCCAGCTAATTTTTTGTATTTTCAGTAGAAACGGGGTTTCACCATGTTAGCCAGGCTGGTCTCGAACTTCTGATCTCAGGTGATCTGCCCACCTTGGCCTCTCAAAGTGCTAGGATTACAGGTGTGCACCACCGTGCCCAGCCTATTTTATTTATTATTAAAATTTTATATAGAGATGGGGTCTCAGTATGTTGTCCAGGCTGATCTCGAACTCCTGGCCTCAAGTAATCCTCTTGCCTTGGGCTCCTAAAGTGTTGGGATTACAAGCATGAGCCACTGCACCTGGCCAGACCCAGTTTATTGAATCTAGGCACAACTACTTCCTAATGAAGGTTGTGATAAATAATGACAAAAATAAAGATTCTACAACTTTCAGGTTTAAAATACCTCTACTGGAGGAAACCCTTTTGTACATGTTGGTTAATCTCTTAGATGAAATCTGAGATTACATACCTTCATTAAAATGGTATGTGAACTGGGCCAGGCATGGTGGCTCATACTTGTAATTGCAACACTTTAAGAGGCAGAGGAGAGTGGACCATTTGAGGTCAGGAGTTCAGGACCAACCTGGCCAACACGGTGAAACCCCATCTCTACTAAAAATACAAAAATTAGCTGGGTGTGGTAGTGAATACCTGCAGTCCCAGCTACTTGGGAGGTTAAGACACGAGAATCGCTTGAACCTGGGAGGTGGAGGTTGCAGTGAGCCAAGATTGCTCCAGTGCACCCCAGCCTCGTCAACAGAACAAGACTCTGTCTCCAAAAAAATGATATGTGAACCAAGATTGGTCATGTTTGGTCACTGCCGAAGCTGGGTGATGGGTATATGTAGATTCATCATAAACACTACTACGTCTACTTTTGCAAATGTTTAAACATTGCATAGTAAATTTAAAAATATTGTTTTCTTCTTTATTAGAAAAGTAAATAAGCATTTTACTGTAAGATTTCTTTATCCTTGGAAAATAAAATAACTACTACTTAGTATTCAAAAATCATTCTATGAAAGAGCATTAGAAAGCATTACATGCTACAGAGTTGAGAGAAGACCCAAATTTCCAAGAATTCAGGATTCAATAAAAGCTGACTTCCACTGGCTACTGTAAAGTCCCTCTGGCTTATAAGTGGCACTGCTTAAAGTAGGAGATAATAGACTACGGAAGACTCTTTAAAATGCTTGACCAACATATTAACATATAAATATATCACATGTTGGAATTATTTTTAAACTTAAAAATGAACTTACTTGTAGTTCATTTTAAATAGTAAATTTCAGTTTATGGCCTAAGGTGTTTATTAACAACTTCCAAAATTCCAGTTATAAATTAAGAAATACCAACCTCTGCCCAGGCTTTAAGCACAGCTAAGATCTCCATGGTAGAAGCACTTTCATTATATAAGTGACTTAGAGCTTCTTTTCCAGCCTGTATTTTAGTTAAAGATGAAACAAGCAACTGATGAACTCTTCGGAGATCATTAAGGTCACTTACAACTCCACTTGCGATCCAGGCACTGCAAACCTAGTTTTCAAGAAATTAAAAGTTATATTTTAAAATTATAAGTATCTCCCTTGGCTGGGCATGGTGGCTCATACCTGTAATCCCAGCACTTTGGGAGCTGAGGCAGGCAGACTGCTTGAGCTCAGGAGTTTGAGACAAGCCTGGGCAACATGGCAAAACTCTGTCTAAAAGAAAATACAAAAATCAGCTGGGCATGGTAATGTGCACCTGTAGTACTAGCTACTCAGAAGGCTAGGGCAGGAGGACTGCATGAGCCCATGAGTTTGAGGACACAGTGAGCGAGAGGAATGAGCCACTACACTCCAGATCTCTAGACTCGCTGGCAGAGTGAGACCCCATCTCTTAAAACAAAAAAAAACAACAAAAAAACCCATCTCTTAAAAAAAAAATCTCCCTTGTGAGTTCAGCAGAGCTCACTCACATCTCAAGAATCTAGTCACTGAGACTATATTGCTATTGCTTTCAAGAAATCCTGTGGAAGAAGGCTGATAATGATAGTCAAAAGCCAGCATTTCCAAAGGGAACGAAGTCTAAGGTTGAAGCAAGGAAATCAGTGCTAATGAGCATATAAATTGAACAGTTCTAGACATATTAATATGGAGAAATGAAGCTATGAAATCATAAAACCCCAACAAAACTTTTGACTGTTTTGAAGATAGTATCTTTTTAATCTTAAATACAAAACATCATTAACTCTACAATGCAAAACACTTGGTCCAGGTGCCATGATATTTCTCTCTCTTTTTTTGGGATAGGATCTTGCTCTGTAGTCCAGGCTGGAATGCAGGGGTGCCATCACAGCTCCTACAACCTTGACCTCCACGGCCCAGGGGATCCTCCCACCTCAGCCTCCTGAGTAGCCAGGACCACAGGCACATACCACCACGCCTGGCTAATTTTTTATTTTTTATAGAGAAAGGGTCTTCCTATGTTGCCCAGGCTGGCCTGTAACTTCCTATGTTGCCCAGGTTGAGAACTCCTGAGCTCAAGTGAGCCACTTGCCTTGGCCTCCCAAAGGGCTGGGATTATAGGAATGAGTCACTGTGTCCAGCTGATATTTCTCTTTTTCTAAGGACAATTTATTTTTCCTCTTCTGTGTATTTATTTAGTTATTATCTCATCTCACAAACTATTTCAAGTGGCTTACAGCAGGAACACACATGATAAAGTTATAATAAATTAGAGATTCATACAACATTTAACATAGTTCTCTGAATAGTAAAAGCACTCAACTATTTCCCAAGTACAATTAAATAAAAGTTGAAAGGACTGACTAAAATTAGTTTTTCCCACTATGTTTATAGTTAATTTATTCATATCAGTCCTGCTTGCAATTAGCTCAGGTCATTCCGGGCTAGAATTTTTTTTTTTTTTTGAGATGGAGTCTCCCTCTGTCGCCCAGGCTGGAGTGCAGTGGCATGATCTCAGCTCACTGCAGCCTCCGCCTCCCAGGTTCAGGTGATCCTCCCACCTTAGCCTCCTGAGCAGCTGGGACAACAGGTACTTGCCACCACGCCTGGCTCATTTTTTTGTACTTTTAGTAGACAGGGTTTCACCATGTTGGCCAGGCTGACCTGTAACTCCTGACCTCAAGTGATCCACCTGCCTTGGCCTCCCAAAGTGCTGGGATTACAGGCGTGAGTCACTGTACCTGGCCTAGGGCTGGATATTAAGTGTTTGACAATGCAGTCTCAGAAAAGCAATGGTTTAAAATTGTATATTATATGGCTCTTAGGTATATGAAAAAGTGCTCAATCTCACTTGAAATACAAATCTAAACTATCTCGAGATAGTCTTTTACTGTCTCGTACAGACAAAAATCTGAAAGTTTGATGATTCATAATGTTGCTGGGACTGTGGTAAAACAGGTACTTCTATAACATTGTTGGTGGAAATTTAAATGGTAAACACCTCTAATATCCATCAATTATTAATTATTCACCCATTCAATTTTGGGGGAATCCATGAATTCAATTTTGGGGGATTTATCTCACAGATATGCTTACACCCAGTGAAATGACCTATGCACAAGGTCACTCATATGGCACTATTCTAATAGCAAAAGACAAAAAACCCAGTGTCCGTCAATATGGAACTGGTTAAAAAAATTATAACATATCTATATAGTGGACTATCATGCAGTTATCAAAAAGGAAGAGTAAGTTCTCTACATTTAAGAAGAAAAGTGTAAGCTGTGATTGATGGTAAGACATCTATAAAGAAAAAACATTGGTAAAAAATACTAACTGGAGGATTGCGTCCCAAGATTATTTCTTAAGCTTCATCTTTTAACCATTTACCTGACACGCTTTAGCAGTGACATCAGGTGGTGTCTCTGAAGTGAAGGCTGGTCTAAGTGCTGCTCCTACCTGGAAAGAAATTACATGACATATCAAACATCAATAAGTAAGACAGCACAAGTTCTTCCTCTTTTTAATGTTATTTTAAAATTATTTATTTATAACAGGTATTATGGACAGCTGTTGTTTTGTCTACCCAGCATATCTTCCCCTGTTTTTAGGTAACAACATCCCAATTTTTCCTTTGGGGAATGATCTTCTCTCCCCAACTCTTTTTTTTTGTTTTGAGACAGAGTCTTGCCCTGTCGCCCAGGCAGGCTGGAGTGCAGTGGCACAATCTCAGCTCACTACAACCTCCGCCTCCCACGTTCAAGTGATTCTCCTGCCTCAGTTTCCCAAGTAGCTGGGATTACAGATGCAAGCCACCACAATCAGCTAATTTTGTATTTTTAGTGGAGACGGGGTTTCACTATGTTGGCCAGGCTGGTTGGTCTCCAACTCCTGACCTCAAGTGATCCACCTGTCTCCTCCCAAAGTGCTGGGATTACAGGTGTGCACCACCGTGCCCGGCCTCTCCCCAACTCTTAATCCACATTGTTGGTTTGGAGCTGACAGCGTTGCCTGGCTCCAGGGACTCATGCTGGGATACTGAAGGCTCTCAAGATTTTCACTGGGAGTACTGGGAAAGAAGCACTGTATCTTTCTGAGGCCCCGGGTAGGGCTAAGACAGCCATCTTGATTTCACTTGGAGAGAATAAACCTGAAAATAAGGCCACTGTGGAAGAAAGCAGAGACAACTAAGAGAGTCCTATAATAATTTTCCTTTTCTGCTTGAGTTCTAATTGTATTTCTAGCACTTGCAATTGTGAGAGGGCTAAAAATATAACAGAGCTCCTCTTAATTAAGTTGAATTATAATATTTTATTCTAATATAGTTTTTCTTTTTTCTTCTTTTTTTTTGAGACAAAGTCTCGCTCTTGTCCCTCAGGCTGGAGTGCAATGGCACGATCTCAGCTCACTGCAATCTCTGCCTTCTGGGTTCAAGTGATTCTCCTGCCTCAGCCTCCGGAGTAGCTGGGATTACACGAGCCTGCCACCACACCTAGCTCATTTTTGTATTTTTAGTAGAGATGGGGTTTCACCACGTTGGCCAGGCTGGTCTCAAACTCCTGATCTCAGGTGATCCGCCTGCCTCGGCCTCCCAAGGTGCTGGGATTACAGGCGTAAGCCATTGCGCCCAGCCTCTAACATGATAGTTCCAAGTAACTTTAATCCCTTCATTTTGCTTTGTCCCTAAGCATATGTTGGTATTAGCTGAACAAAGTGAAAAAGACCACTAATCAACTGATGAACTGCTCTGGACTCCCTAACTGCTAGCCATCAGAAGTTGCTTCTGAATAATAAAGAGAGATCTCCTTGGATGAATGCTGTTAAAGGATTACAAGACAGCTGATGATTTTGTTATCTTCCTTATTCTTCTTAAATTGTTCAATGGACCAGTCAAATAATCAGTTAAAAATATTACAAAACCAGTAATAGAAACCTGAATCCTTGGGCTGGGCCTGGTGGCTCATGCCTGTAGTCCCAGCACAGTGGAGGTGGAAGCAGACAGATCACTTCAGTCCAAGAGTTTGAGACCAGCTTGGGCAACATGGTAAAACTCTGTCTTTACAAAAAAAATACAAAAGTTAGCTAAGCATGGTGGTGTGTGGCTGTGGTTACAGCTACTTGAGGTTTCAGTGAGCCAAAATCATGCCACTGCACTCCAGCCTGGACAACAGGGTAAAACCTTGTCTCAAAAACAACAACAAAAACCTCACAGACATCTGAATGATTTCCTAGGTCTAGAAAATAAATGAAGGAGTTTTTATATGTCATGAAAATTAACCTTTATTTATTTATTTAGAGAAATGTTGTGTTTAATGGTAAAGCTTAGCACACCCCA